TCTGTCGTGACTTCGACAGCCTATCCAGCCGGCGATGCTCGTAGAGAGTGATGAAGAAGGCTACGCCGATGAAACCGAGGCAGAGGATGAACCAAGCATCGACAAGAGTGAAACGAGTAGGGAAGACACCTGCATAGTGAGTCCAGGTTGCCAAGTAAAGCAGATTTAGAATGCCCTGTGCAATGGAAATTAGCTGTGGGCCGCAGGGCAGAGCCCAGAGCAAGATGAAGGAGAGGATCGTGAACATGAGTGCTGGAAGTGCTGCTCGAAGGATCGGAGCGGTTGGATTGAAACAGATATTAATTGCCAGACTTGATCGGAAACCTGAGGTACAAAATCAAGAAGTCAAGTCGGAACACATTCGAATTGCAAGTAATTTGAGCATTCGCAAACAAGTCGGCGTGCAGTTTTAAGCTTAATTTTAGTATCAACGACAAACGGATCGTCATGACTAGTTGACGCAGAAAGTCCTATGCTATATTAGTTGTTTCTCAAATGCAACTTAAAGCATTGCTCCTGGTGGCCCAGCTATTTTATAAACTTGAGGCAATTTCAGTAGAGTGAAGGTATCAGAAATGGACGGAACTGTCAGTAGGCGTGTTGGTGATCCTCACAATTCAGTGCTGGTATGATATAAACTATAAATCGTCCTTTCCTCACTATTTTAGCCCCCAAATAGCCTGAATTTATCAAAGAGGAGATACACTCATTGCAAAATTATATCACATACGTGGGTGGATAGACGGAAAGGCACTTGCAGTGGTAAATAATTTGTTTTTGTTAACAAACCGTTATGTTTTGCAGATGCCATTGCCCATTCATTATCAGTACTTTCATTGGACAGTCGTCTACCATTTAAATTCATTGGAAAAGTTGAATAACTTATGTGACATCTGCAACGACATGATTTTCCCTTCTTACCTTCTGAAGCCGACTTTACGGAATCCATGGTTGCCAACGTTGCGTATGACAACTTTGCAGCAGCCTTCGCTGACAACGTGCAAGTACTTCTGTCCAGCCAAACATAATCGGGATTCTCGCGGTGAAATGTTTCTAGAGATGAAAGACAAGCAATTTAGAGGATATGGTAACAGCTGACGTCAAAACACTTTCTAATATGCATAGCAATCTAGGTCTTTCTTATAGAGATGCATTTTCTTACCAAAGCACAATTTTTAAAAAGTGCTTGCGCTAGGCTCAGAAAGGATAAGCATACGCAATGAAAGGAAGTCACTTTAAGTCCGATAACAACCAAAGGCGGTACCATTTTTGGTTCACGGAATCCCTACTACTCGCAGCTAACCGGTGTCAAACGTGTCGCTAGGACGGTCTATTTATTTAAAAATTGATTGTAAAGTCTTACCTATCCCACCCTTAAAAAGCCCACTTTAAAAGTGGAACAAACTGGTAACTGAGAGGATGTCACGACTTTGGCACAACGATGGATGTCAACAAAGTGTTGGTGTACAAATTCAAGTATAAGTTAACATTAAGGAATGCACTGAAACGCACTGGTTGCGGGCTATTGGGCAACAGCACATCAAATTCGCGACACACGAAAGCTAGTCATGGATCAGGCGTTGTCGTCTGCCTTGCTAG